TTAGATTGTTTTCTTGGTAGGAATCAGTCCAATATGCCAATTGCACGACAAATGTCTTTTCAGCTTTCTGTACTTGGTCCTTTTCCTTTCTAAGCAAGCAGAACCGACTCCGTTGATAGCAAAGGTTCGGTAAATGAAAATGAAGGCGGTTACAAGATAACACATTACACATTCAGACAAACCCTCCCGTTATTATTTGTGCATAACTATTAACTCTTCTGTTTTTCTTTAATCTTGTTTTTAGATTAGATTATTAGTGGACATTTCCTTTATCAAATATTTAACAGTAGAATGTTATATTACATTTGGGTCTTCAGTGTATATTCAGATAGTTCTCTTCACAATCATGACATGTGGTTAGTTTGATATCTATTGTACATTTTTTGTTGGTTGTATTGACTTGTAAGAATGAAATATGGTTGATGGAGTTTTTTAAAAATAATCATGTAAAGTCTAAACTAATTTTAAATTTGCCAAGTGTTGACATGCTTAGATATAATATTTTTTTCTTTATATTCAATTTTTAAAGAACAATGGGATTAAATCTTATCAACATGGGCTGGAATGTCCATGTCATCACCTTTGTCATATTAATGCCTATTTGGCTTCCTAACAGAGAATTCTCCAAAGAGAGAGAAAAAGCACAGGCACGAGGAGACTTCATGAAACTAAGAAAAAAGCAGCAGATCGAGGAGGATCTGAGAGGTTATCTAGAATGGATAACAGCCGCAGAAGACATAGAAATGGAAGGGGATGAGAAGAAGGAAGCCGATGGTAGGGAGAGAATCATTCAACCTTTGGAGCCCGGCTAACATAGCTCTCACTAATACCATGTAGTGTAGATATTACTGTTCTGTTTCAGAGCCTGGGTGAAAGGTGAAGTTGGAGTACTACATCACTCTCCCTCTGATATCCTTCACAGCACTAATGTCGCTCTTCACCGTAGTAAAGGTCTCAATTAGTAGAGTGTTCTAGGCTACACAATGGCAATACAGACACCCAAAGCAACCACTCAAATAGATGGTAATTTGTGTTATCAAAAACAGTTCTTCGATACATAACCTCAACTTGCTTGAGTGTCTTTGTTGTCATTGTAGAGTGTAGGAGCTGGATGAGTGTGTGTTAAGTTTGAGTTGTTAGTGTAGCTGGCAGTTAGCACTAACCTAGACAATCATGTCCTCGCTAGAGAGTTCACAAAGGAAAGAGAAAAAGCCAAAGCCCGAGGAGACTTCAGAAAGCTTCGGGAGAAGCAGCAGATTGAGGAGGACTTAAGAGGGTACTTGGAGTGGATCACCCATGCTGAAGACCTAGACCTGGAGGAAAAGGAGGACAAAAAGGAGTGTGACGGTAGGATGCCAGCAAGTTGTTCTACAGTTATCAAGCGATCTGAGTTTGCAATAGGTGGATATATAGGGTGTAGGTACCCAGAGTTGACCCAAGAAGTCCGAAAAGGATGACTAATTGGTGAATCCAAAGGTAATATTGTAGCTTTTGGGAAAGAGCCTGAGGATCATATACAATACATACATTCTACAGATAGACAATTCAGTCTTGCTATTTGATAGCTGTCTTTGCTTGTTACTTTCACAGGGAAGTGCTTTTTAACATCTTTTCATTTTCCTTGCAGCTAAAATGTGTTGACTTGAAGAGGAGACAAACAATTTGTATATTTCAAAAAGTTGTTGTGACTTTGTTGCCTACAATCAGACAGCATTTAATGAGTTTTTGCATTTCTTTGTTTACGTGTGTGTGTGTGTGTGTGTGTGTGTGTGTGTGTGTGTGTGTGTGTGTGTGTGTGTGTGTGTGTGTGTGTGTGTGTGTGTGTGTGTGTGTGTGCGTGTGCGCTGTGCTTGCGTGAGTGCGTGCGAGCTTGCGTGCATGTGTGCGAGCTTGCGTGCGTGCGTGCATTTATTGTTTATTTGAAAATAAGTCTACATGAGCTTATATTTATTATGTGTTAATATGATATCAGTTTACTTTTATGTCACAACAACTTAGCTACAAACTTAATGGCTAGACATTTAACCTAAATATAGATGATCTTGTTGCAATCTGTCATTTAAATACTAAAGCAAAGATTAGGTTTTCATTTATATAACTGCAGTGCAAATTACTAACACACAGTAAAAAGTATGCCCTTAAAGCAGTTTCTTTCTTTGGTTTAGTAATGCATCTTAAGTTACCATTAATGCATACTATTTTAGCAGTGGTGCAGTAGTTGTATCAGTGGTAATACTGTTACTTGATTGAATATGGCTATTTTCTGATGAATATGAAGGCAGATTTGAGCTTGAAGCCTAGCGAGACTGCCTTACTCTCTATGCAGATTGCGCATGCATGAAACCAGCTCATATTCTCTTGATATATAGCATAGACTCTACCAGGCATTCTCCTGTGTTCATACCCTTCAGTCTGCTGTGTCAACATGCTGCGCTGTTATATCAGTATATTGTAATCAGTTGAGCCATCATGCTGCAACTCTCTATTGTTAACCGTTTAA